CTTCAACGCCAGGCTCGAGACCACCCCCGCTAGCTCAGGTAGGGAGACTGTAGTGCAGCGAGGTGGACGGTAGTTGGCATTACCCACAGAAACATTTGGTACCTATGTAAAGAAAATGATATCTGCAATTCTGTATACATAACTACACTCGTGCCCATCAAAAACTATTTGGTACAAGGATTCTTGTGCGGGAATCGGTCACTTAGCAAAACAGTCCTTGTGTGAAAGACTAGCGTATCTTTCTTGTTCAATCCATTTTTGGAAGACTTCAGACCAAGTCTGATAAGCAAAGCATTCAGGTCTAGAAACCCATCACAGTTACCTTCAGGAAGGCCTCTTTCTGTTCAAGGTGTTTGCTAATCATAGGAGTCACATGGTCCGTTTCCGAGTTGGGACCCAGCTTGTCAGCTCCTCCACACCAGTCTTCTTCCCGCTTGTATTCTTGTTCCAGGCTTTCCAGAACGCTGCATACCTATCAGCCAATAACAGGAAAGAGAGTTAAGTGTTTCCACTGAAGGATGTGCACCGAGCTGTCAGCATTAAAACAGTGTATATTTGCCTCTTGTCTGCAACTTGATTTGATGACTTCCTTAAAGTTCAGACTGGGTCAATACTTCAGATTTGATACCAGGAACTCCTTTACCCACTCATCCCAAGAAAGGAGAAGACACCTCCTTACCACAGCTTAGTTTGGATAAAGTCAGTGGATGCTACAGGTGTCATAAGATGTCTCTGAGAACATGAGCAAACTTTTTTTAAACATTGACACACTTTGATTGCTCCAAGCTGAAATTATACTCAGTCCCCAAGTTATGAACAATATAGGTTCCGTAGGTTTGTTCTTAAGTTGAATTTGTTTGCACGTTGGAACAACACACACACACAAGCCGTCTCCTGCCACACATTGCTGTGGCCCAGTCTGTTTATGTGTTTTGTATGTGTATATATGTGTGTATATATTTGTGTATATGTGTATATATGTGGTTTAGAGCGCGTGTTGTAATGTATTTTTTATTTTTTGGCTTTTAAAGTCTCTTCTGCTGTGTTTTTCAGTGTTTTTATGAGTGATGGTCACTCGTTGGCCTGATAGGTGTATTGTGTCCAAATTTGGTGTCAATTCATTCAGTTGTTTTTGAGTTATGTTAATCCCACAAATGAACATTACATTTTTATTTATATAGATATATACACACACACACACACACACACATATACACAAATGCTTTGGGTAGCCCTGTAGTGTTTTTTGCTGTATGCGCCCCTGTTCAGAGAATGTCATCTCACTTTCTGTCCTTGTGATAGTTGAATTCTTAAAAATTTGCCTTGTTGTGGAAACAAGGATTAGTGCTAAAGCTTCAGTGGAGACACTTCTTCTACATTATAACTCTTTCAGGTGTGGATTTCCCTTCCAACAGGTAGATTTCTTTCACTTCCTGTTATCTCACCACCCTTTTATTACTATGAATCATTTGTAAGTGGGATGTTTGTAATTTGGGGACTGTTTGTACTGTCAATACTTCATGGTACAAATGAAAACTTCTCTTTAGCTGTTTAGTTAGAGGCTGGTTGCCACTGAAATTTAAAGCCTTGCATGTCTTCTTCCTCATCTACTAAAATATAATACAACACCCCAATTCCTACACTATTTTTGAGAATAATAATAATAATAATAATCAACTTTATTTATATTCTGCCCGCTCTCCCCATAAGGGCTCAGGGTGGATTCCAACAAAAAAAAAATGAACAGGACTACAACTGCCATTCTGGGTTGGTGCTCGTGGAAATCACAGACCAAACCCCCTACACCAGGAAGGAGAGCCTTCTCCTCTGTGGCTCCCCAGCTTTGGAACTCATTACCTGGAGAGATCAGGAAAGCCCCTTCTCTAGAAACATTCAAAAAGAACCTTAAAACCTGGCTCTTCCTCTCTCCAGTTCTTCAGAATGTATATGTTTACATTACTTGTGGAGATGGGGAAAAGTCTATGGGCTGCTGCTTTGAGATATAGCAAAAATGCGAAATATCAGACTTTTATGGGAGCAAGAACTCACCAAATGAGACTGACATGGGAAGACTAGTAGAAAGCAGGTATTCAGGTTTCTGAGTAGCTACTCCATGAAATGCAACCGCTCTTTAGAATACTGTGTATTATGTTTCATACAAAAACAAACTGCGCTCACCTTACAGAATAACAGTGCTTAGGAAGCTCTGAAGCTACTTATACAAACACATTTGTCAGCTTTTAAGTAGCTGTGTAATGTCGGGTGGCAGCATACAAAATAAAGCAAATGATCCAAGTCTATAAAACGGAATTACTTTCCCTTATTAAACTGAGCCCAATGAATTCGGTCTTTAAAACTAATCTACTACAAAAACCACCTCTGAAAACAGTTTATCAGTAGCTATTCTCTCTGGCTCGATAAATCGCTCCGCAAAGTACTGTTCCCTCCTACCTGCTCCGATGTTTTATAAAAGGCCACAGAGGCGTTCACAAGCTTGAGTCGGTCTTCCATCTTGAGCATCAGTTGCTGCCAATGGGAGGCCACCTTCTCGGCACAGTCCCTGATCATGTCCATGTCGTAGTGGTTAGCCTGCAGCATCGCCTCGGCTTTCTGCTGCACCTGCAGTGCACTCTGGTGTGTTTTCTGATCAAATGGAAATAGAACATGCCCATTACTTGACAAATCCACTCAGAATGTTTTCAGTTTATCATCAGCCCCTTGCTTTCTTTTTCTTTTGTATATAAAAGAAAAAGGGCAACATTATTTGAGCAATAAAACTGCAATCACATCACAACTAGTTTCACATACCACACAAATTGCCTGTGTCATTGCACTGCCTGCTTGGTTCCACATACCACTTTTGAATAAAGGAAATGAGTTCAGGAGGAGGGGAAAGTCACCACCATAACATTCTACAACCATAGGATTGGCCTTCAGGATCCTTATTCCTTACCATTATGGATACTTTTGAAGAAACACAGCCCAACAATGTATTGTGTAATGTATTGTCAAAGGCTTTCATGGCCAGAATCACTGAGTTGCTGTGAGTTTTTGAGGCTCTATGGCTATATTCCAGCAGTTACAGTAAGTTGTAGCAGGACCGCGCGTGTGTGTGTGTGTTGAAGAAAAACCTTATGATGGTAATTATTATGTGCAGCTGGTAATGTAGGTCAACCAGCAATCTTGGACCACACCAGATAGGGTATAACTGTATGGGTGTCATAGGATCTGCAGTTGATGGTGGTTGGTGATGGAAGGGTTAATGTGAGTATTAGTTCTAGAGGGTTTGGTGATCTGTAAGTGGGAGTTCATTGGTGAAAGCAATTAGGGGTGGAGGTGTGCAGGAGATGGGTTGCAGCTGGGTGTTATTGTATTTAAGGAGTTAACCTTGGGACTGATCTTTGGGAGAAAAGTATCTGTTGTATTTTGGTGGTGGATACTGTTGGTTTTTTCCCCAGGTCTGTTGGATTTTCGGTATTTTGACCTGTCTCCTGTAATCTTGGAACCCTGGAACCTTGAACCTTTGGACTGGCTTTTGACTACGGTATAGACTCTTGATCCCTGCACTTTGTTTATTGAACTCTCAGTGTTTGACCACTGGACTAGACCCTTTTGACTACGGAGTTGTTTTTGCTATCAGTTGTTGTTTATTCTGTGGCTGAGTGCTATCTTTATGTTTTATATTTTGGTCTATTTAAACAGCCAGCAAGTAAGTGCTGTTTTAATTAAACTGTTTGATAAAACTGGTAGTTTGGTTAATCTCTACCTAAATAAGGCAGAGCCCTGGCAACGTGACAATGGGTTTTTAGAATACAGTTCTGGAGAGTTTCTTCTCTGAGGGGATCTATGCTCAACGGCTCTGCTCTGAGGAGCAGGTTGGAGAAGTCGTTATGCCACTCTAAAGGAGGCTAAGGTGGAATAGCTGCTTGCTCAAGGTTTATTGTTTACTTTCTCATTTGACTTAAGATAAAGATGCCTTATTTTGTGTTACTTACAAAGGCTATGTAAGTTTCTTGCACTGTTTGTTTTTTGTTTGCAACATTGCAAGTTTGTATTTCATCTTTGCTATTAAGAGTAAATATTTTTGTTCATTTCTACTCTTGTCTGCGAGTCTTGTGCATGAAACGTGGCTAAGATCTGCTTGCTGCGCAACAGCATTCTCTCCTAACGTTACACCTGTTTCTGTATCTGGCATCGTCAGAGGTTCTGTTGTAGCCTGGCAGGCATTGGATAAGCTTTCTGTGTGCAAAGAAGATGAGGAAAGGGATGATGGGTTGCAACCTATAGTGTCTGAGGAGTCTGTGGAAGATTGCAGGGGCCTGGAGAGAGATGTTTGGGAATCTCCAGGCCATTCCAAGGCAATGGGAGAAAATGAGATCAGTTCCTAGGAGAATAGGCCAGAGTGGCCTTTGAAGGAGAATGTGGGAGATGAAAGTTTTCCCAGATCAAATCACCTTGAAATTTGGAGGCAGAATGCAAAACAAAGACAAACTCGTTTTTCTCAGAGGGTTAGAGATGAGGAGAGAAAAAGCAGGTGTGTGCAAAGTAATGTCATGGGAGGGACTGAGGCCTTTTAAGTGGTTTCTGGGCTCTCAGGCCTTTAGTGGGAACAATGTTGTAAAAAGGGGAAACAGCTCCTGGTTTCTAGTCCTAAGTTCCTGGTTCCTATATTTCAAGACTCTTGGTTTGATTTCTGTTTATGACCATGTTCTTGGACATTTTACCTTTCTTGTGTTCCCGTTTTCATGTATATGGATGTAACTTTTGAACAATATCCTGCTTGAGGATTCTTTTGCTATGTATTAATTCAAGTCTCTGTGGGTTGCTTTTTGATGCCTTGGTTCAAAAGCTGTTGAACTCTTGATCTTGCTGGAAATTACTTTTTGTACTTTTGCTGCTTCTTTTTTGACTTGCCTTTCCCCTTTTATACTTATTCATTAATAAACATTTACTTGTTGGATTATCTTATCATTGTGTGGTGTTGGGTGAAAAGGTGTTCCTCTGAAGATGCCAGCCACAGATGCAGGTGAAATGTTAGGATAGAATGCTGCTGGAACATGGTCATACAGCCTGAAAAACTCACATCAACCCAATGTAGTGTTTACAAATGGTAAATAAGATATGTGTGTCCCCCAACCACAATGACAAAAATCTGAGATCCTGCTCAATGACCAAACTTTCTCTGTTTAGCTTCTCAATCTTGCTTCCCAGCCTGAATGTGTGGAGTTGAATTTCCACACAACAGTCCCTTGCTATGTATACTTTCTGCACTCTATTGTAAAACCTTTGGGGCAGGAATCTTCTCATCCCCTGCCTCCAGCTGAGTATATATCAGTCTGCAATGTAGATTGTAACATTTACTTAACAGCAAAGATTGTTACTATTTGCTACTCATCCATGAGGAGCCCTGTGATGAAGTTTCATGGCTGATGGCACTCTTCTGAAATGTTTTCTGATGGAAAATATTCTTGTGAATTTTCTCAAACTCCATTCAGAACATTCCAAACACAATGCAACACATTTAGGCAGAACTGGCCCTGGTGCTGAGATGCAGTTCTATGTCAGCGAGTACAGGCTTGCATTTCAGATATTGTCTGTATAGATGGCAACCTAAACAATGAGCTAACTAATTCCCAATTGCCTGTCTATCTTAAACAACACAGAGGGTAAGAGCAATAGCAAGCTTTCTTCTTTCTAACTCAATTTCTGTGAATGGCTAACTATCTGGAGTGCCTTGGCAGCTGAAAATGTCCATAATAATGTGGTGAAGACAGACTAAACCCCCATCCCCAAATAAGAGTCATGTGTTAGTACTTTAAATAATCTAGATCCATTATTCTACACAGAGCTGAAGCAATATAGCAGTGGGAGAAGGCAAGCCCTACAAAACAGAACTTAGCACCAAACCGGACTATAATTAAGGATTCCAGGTCTAGGTTCCCTTTAGGATTACACGTTCTTTAACTCATTTTATTAATAATCAGACTTCCCTGAAATGGGAGTCTGATTGTAACAAGCACTGAATGTTTGCCTGTGTCTGTTTATATGCTGTAATCTGCTCTGAGTCTCCTCGAGGAGAAAGGAAGAATATAAATAAGGGGTGGTGGTGGTGGTGGTTCTTCTTCTTATTATTATTTGATACACAACAAGATTAGTACACAGCAAACAAGATCACTATGGTGGCTTTTGTATTTGATCACATGTAGGACTGTGTTACGTATGGGCAAATAATGTGTGCAGATCCAAGTAGGGTGGTCTTTAGCAGCTGACATATGGTAATTTTGTCAGCACCTATTGTTTTTAAGTGCTGGCCAGGGTTTTTAGGTACTGCACCTAGTGTGCCAGTGCCACTGGGACCACCTTTACTGGCATGTGCAAGAGTCTTTGCAGATGATGATGATGATGATGATGATTATTATTATTATTATTATTATTATGGCACTGCATACTCACTATCTCTCTAAAAAAAACCAAAAAACCAGAAGAGATGTTATAGTGTGTCAGCATCAAGGTCCCAGATCAATTTTTTTCTTCAAGATTGGGAACATCACCTTTCTAACTTGCACTTATCATCCAACATTTGCTTTTTTTTTTTTGGGGGGGGGGGGGGGGGGAAGCAGACTCCACCCCATGGTATATGCTGCCATGGCTGCCATGTGACTGTTTGCACATGCTTGTACCGTTTTAACATACTTATGCAAGCATGTTCAAATGTTCTTGTGCAAATACATTCAAACAGTCACATGAATTTTGGAGGGCTGGGAAAGGTGTAGGCCACTATAAACGTCCGAACAAAGGTACACATAGTGGAGCTTCTACAGTGTTACACTGTCTCCACCATGAGTGTGTTGATTCTGCTAATACGGCATTTCTTTCTTTTAAAATATGAAGTTTCATATGTTGGTAGTAATCTCTGCACACCATACCAGAGCATCCAGGGAGTAGAAAAGGATATCTTAGAAGATCACTGGATAATTTGTTGAGGACCTTTATTTAAAAACAACAAAAATGATCCCTATGCTCCACTATATTGTTGTTGTGATAAAAGCTGGGACAGAGAATATCAACATTAGATTTGAGCTCCAAATGGTGATTTTTTTATGTTTGGTACTGAGCACAAATTTCAGAGTTTATAAGTCTTTCACTATATGTAATTTGCACTCAGATCTGCTTGGTGGACCTTGAGATTGCAAGTAAAAGCTAAAGAGATCAAAGAAGCTGAAAATATGCACTGATATATTTTCTTATGACATTAATAATAATAACAATAATAATATTTATAATAACTTTATTTATACCCCGCCACCATCTCCCCAAGGGACTCGGAGCGGCTTACATGAGACCAAGCCCAGCAACACATCAATAAAAACAAAAAGCAATAAACAAAAACAATAAATACAATACAATTAAAATAAATCACATATAAACAATAACCAATAAACAGTAACACACAAGGATTTAAAAACCTATGTCCGGGCCACATGTAATAGTTTAAAAATTTAAAAAATAAACTCTGTGTATGAACAAGGTAGGATATATCTGGCATAGGGTTTTAAAAGAGATGAGGGACATTCATAACAAGGGTGTTATCAGACAGGCCCGATAACCAAGGATGTGATCTCAGATTGGGTTTCTGTGAGCTTCCATGGATGTCTGGCCATGTTCCAGAAGCATTCTCTCCTGATGTTTTGCTCACATCTATGGGAGGCATCCTCAGAGGTTGAGGGATCTATTGGAAACTAGGACAAGTGAGTTTTATATATCTGTGGAATGTCCAGGGTGGGAGAAATGACTGTCTACTTGAGGCAGGTGTAAATGTTGCAATTGGCCACCTTGATTAGCTTTGAATGGCCTTGCAGGTTCAACGCTGGGCTGGTTGCTGCCTGGGAGAATCCTTTGTTGGTGTCAGGAGTGAATGCTTCTGGAACATGGCCATACAGCCCAGAAAACTCACAGCAACCCAGAGATTCTGGCCTTGAAAACCTTCGACAACACATTGATCCCAGGTTTTCTGCCTTAAACTGGATTGTATGAATTCACACTGTCAGATATTCTGAGGTAAACAGAAAACCTTGGAACAGATCCTGGGATATAGGGCCTGACTGGAAGTCTACTTTAGGAACGGTGCACAGCATCTGGATTCCTTACTGCTGTGGTCAGAAAGGGCAGCTATGTGGATCCCTATGATGTTTGGGTTTTCAGTGCTTTAAATACAAGTCAGCATGACCACAAGGAGCATCTTGCTTAAAGATGTCCTGGAATGTGTGTGTGTGTGTGTTTGAGGGCGGACAAATCAAATATTCAGGGTTGAAACCCAACTTTGCTCTGGAATCCTTAAATATAACGGGTGTATATCCAACTCTATCACAGTCTAGCAAAGTGCCCCAATTAAAACGACTACACATTTATTTCCCTACAAGGACAAATATCTACAGGGAAAGAATGTCATACAGAAAAGTTACCAAAGCTGTCAAGAGTGAGGACACACACACTGCAAACTGTGAACAACAGAAAGGGAAAACAGAAAACTCCACAGAACGACAGTTGAACAGAAGGCATTCGCAGAAGCACCACGGATTTCTGAAAATAAAAAGCTTCCCAACGAACAAAGCAAAGGATTTTATTTCTAGCTTCATTAAAAGCATTCGGCTCTTAATACTTACACTAGGAAGACATTTATTCTACATCAGTGGTTTCAGTACAACCCAAATGTGTTTTAGAGAAGATAGAGCGCAACTGTATTGACTACACTTGCTCAAAGAGTGACCATGGATTATAATATTATGTAACATGATTTTTGTTCCTGGGTTATAAATGTCATTTCCTAATTGGTTCTATCATAAAAACATGGGAAAAGGTGATTAAACTGCGAAAACTTTGTCTTTGTAGCACATTTTGCTATGGTTTTTCTATGAATATCTCACTGAGTCTCAATCAATTCAACCTAGTTTGTGGCAGCCACAAAAACAAAGTTTTTAGAGTATAACAATAACTTTCAAAGTAAGTAATACACAATTAACCAGGAATAAAACTTTCAAACCAGGAGCAGAAAAAATTTTAAATTCTGCTACGTAGTGGAATGAAAGAACAAGTCCACATGCAGAAAAGATAACTTGCTGCTCATTATTTTTCCTTGGGATGCAAATGTTAGACTGATAAAACAGCAGCATAAAATTCTAACACATTGCTCTAAAATTGCCTTTAAAAATAAGTTTTGAAAAAAAAAACCTTGAAAACATGTCAAAGGCTTTTGTGGCCAGAATCATTAGGTTGCTGCAAGTTTTCCAGGCTGTATGGCTATTTCCCAGAAGCATTCTCTCCTGACATTTCTCCCACATCTGTAGCAGGTACCCTCAGAGGTTGTGAGGTCTATTAGAAGCTAGGTAAGTGGGGTTTATATATCTGTGGAATGTCCAGGGTGGGAGAAAGAGCTTATTTCTGCCGGAGGCAAGTGTGAATGTTGCAATTGGCCACCTTGATTAGCACTGAATGGCCACTCAGCTTCAAAGCCTGGCTGCTTCCTGCCTAGGCGAATCCTTTGTTGGGAGGTGTTAGCTGGCCCTGAATGATTCTTGTCTGGAATTTCCATTTTCTGAGGGCTGTTCTTTATTTACTGTCTTTATTTACTTTGAAGTTGAAAGGCCATTCATGGTGGCCAATTGCAACATTCACACTTGCCTCAGGGAGAAAACAGTAATTTTATTATCTCTTTTCTCTTCCTTATTCCATCTTTTATTTCACAAATTCTGCTAATTTCCCCACTGAAACCAATTGACCGAATTTTCCAAAAACAATTAAAGCTGGACCTTTTGCATGCAGAATTATGGCATGAATCAAAACCAGTGAGATGATGACATGTTAAATATGTGTTTTTAAATTAAATTAGAATGAAAAAGTACCTTTTCCACAATAAAATGCAATGGCATTAATGTTTTGTTTATGTTAGCCTCATAAAGCCTTCCTACAAGTAAGGTTACATTTGAAGCAATAACAAATATCCCCTTTTCAACACAAACATAATTAACAGAAGTATTTCTGAAAAAGCTTTGTAATGGAAATATAGTAGAGTAGCATTTCTGTTAACTATCCTATCTATCTATGGCCCTCTTTGGTTCCTCTTTTCTCATATGTTGGCATCAGTGGCCATGAGTCTACAACAGTGCATAGCTCTGCAAGTCGTATTTCACATTCTCTCATTGCCAAGGCCTTGCTTTTACTTATTGGTGTTGTTACTAATTTGTGGAGAAGTGACACAATTAAGACTATTGAGAAGCAGCTGGATTAAGCGGGTCAAGGGGGAAAGAAATAAGTGTGACCATTTTCCTCCTCCTAGAAACCCAGAGCAGCTATGTCTTCACAATCTGAATTGCTTTCCCCTTCCTCCCAATGCCACCAGTAAGCAATAGAAGCAGTTCTAGCAGGAGGTTTTGGATGGAGTGCAACAGGATGAATAGCCCTGTCGACCACATACAAAACAGGACTTTATGTAAGTCATGAACATGATGTTGGCCAGATACAAGAAGTCCTTCAGAGCAAGCTATCCCTTGTTGACAAATATGATATAATCATTTTTGCTACCCCATATCCACCAGAAGTCCTATGTTACAGTAAGTCATAGCAGGATCAAGTGTGTGTTAATTATTATGTACAGCTGGTAATGTAGGTCAGCCAGCATGTTTGGGCCACACCCGGTGGGGTATAACTGTATGGATTTTAGAATACAGTTGGGAGAACCAATATGCTGTAATGCTGCTATGCTCTAACAGCGATGCTCTTTGCTATGGTGGAATAGCTATTTACTCAGGGTTTATGTTTTGCTCTCTCATTTGAATGAAGATGAAGAAGACTTATTCTGTGTTACTTACAAGGACTATGTACCGTATATACTCAAGGATAAGCCAACCCAAATATAAGCCAAGGTATCTAATTTTACCCCCAAAAACTGGGAAAACGTACTGACTCCAGTATAAGCCGAGGGTAGGAAATGCAGCAGGTACTGGTCAATTTCAAAATGAAAATAGATACCAAATAAAATTACATCAATTAAGGTATCAGTAGTCCAATGTTTTTGAATATTTACATAAAACTGTAATTTAAGATAACTGTCCAACTCTGATGAAACCATTATTTTCACCTTCTTCAATGTAAATGTGCTTATGTATCCTTGCAATAATAAATAGAACAAGATAATAAATGTAATAATTTATCAATAAAAATAAATTATTACATTTATTATTGTTATTACTATTGATTAAAATAATAGAAATGTAGTAATAAGAGTAAATGTAAATAATAAATGTAATAACAATAATAAAGTAAAATAATAAATGTAATAATACTAATAGAGTAAAATTATAAATGTATTACAAATAATAATAATAACAGAGTAAAATAATAAATAACCTTGACTCGAGTATAAGTCGAGGGGGACTTTTTCAGCCTAAAAAAAGAACTGAAAAACTAGGCTTATACTCGAGTATATACAGTAAGTTTGTTGCACTGTTTGATTTTGTATGCAACATTGCAAGTTTATGCCTCTGCTGATAAGAGTAAAGTTTTTCTGTTGCTTTTTCCTCTTGTTTGTGAGTCTTTTGCATGGACTTTGGCTAAAACACGCTTTGCGCAACAGACTATGATTACATCTTAATGTATAATGTCACCAGTAGCAGACACATAAAAATCATTCAGAACATCTGGACTCTGAGACCACTCAGCATCCCTTTCTAATTCCAAATTGTCAAAGTAAACACATTTAGATAACTACATCAAAGCAGTGTGACTATTAAACTCCTAAATGCAAACCAAATTGCTGCTCATTATCTGTGTCAAAAGGCTGCCTATTCTATGTGAAGTCCACCAAAATAGCCAAAAACAAATTTACCTCTATTGCATGCTGGAACTGTTCGTGTTCACGTTGCAGCTGCTCAGCTTCCTGCAGTGAGCTAGCGGTGATGAGCCCTGCATTTAGCATAGACTCCCCATTTCGGATCCAGCCCAGCACCTGAAATGAAATACAAAATGTCATAATTCTGAAGGCTTTTCTTAAGACTGAGACAATGCTCTTTAAAATTTATCATCTACTGTTTTTGCAATGGCCATCAGTTTCATATTACAGGTGTTTTTGTTTAAATAGGATATTAGTGTCTAAGTAGGGGATGTTTTATTTATCTATGAAAACTTTTTGTTTGCAAAATATTTTATTGTTTATGTGATTTTGATTTTTTAAAACTATTATTGTGAATGGTTTTAATGGACTGTCACTGGAAGCCACCTTGGTTTCCATACCAGAAGAAAGGAAGCATTCAACTAAAATAAATAAGTTATTTTATTTATCGTGTCAGGAGCAAGCCAAACAGTTGTATTGCATTTTTAAACAAACAAACAAACAAACAAACCACAAAGTTTGCAAGTTTGGTAGTTGATTAAATGTCCTTTGACCAGTAGCTGGCTACTTGGAGTGCCTCTGGTGTTGCCGCAAGAAGGTCCTCCATTGTGCATGTGGCAGGGCTCAGGGTGCATTGCAGCAGGTGGTCTGTAGTTTGCTTCTCTCCACACTCGCATGTCGTGGATTGTGTATTTCTTCCACCTTCTCCTCTCACTCACTCAAATCTGGGACCCATTCACATTAGAAGAATTATAGTGCTATTATTTCCATTTTAACAACTGGGATTGGTTGTTTATGGGAAGGGGAGGCATTGTGCTTCTGACTGAGCTACAAACCTGAGCATTCCATAGGATGAAGCCATGGCAGTGAAAGTAGAATCATAGCACTAAAATGGTCTAGCATGATAAGAATTAGAGCTTATAACTAGTAACAGAAATTTATTCCCAGTTCTGAAAGATGTACTGTGGGCCAGGGTTTACAATGATCAGGTATCATGTATGCAGATCTATAAAGCTGAAGGAATGGGTGGAGATTGATGGAATGGGGATAGCTCACAACAGAACCCTTAATTTTGGTAAGTGTTCACTAGGTTTAGATTAGTGGTTGTCAACCTGTGGTCTGTAGACCACCAGTAGCCTGCAAGAACTAAAATATGGTCCACAGCCTCACTGCTACTACTCCATTGCCTCAAAACCATGCGGCAACAAGAGCGACTGGTCTTGCAAAACCCTCTTACAGTGCCAAAGCAACAGGGATGTCGGGAGGGAAGAGGCTGACTACCAATGAAAGAATAATACTACTAGATTATTAAACATGGTTTTCTATGGGCAAGCAGATGGCGACTACTGGGTGGCATATTTTCTGTATCAGAAACTAGAACTGATGTGGTCTATTCAAATGCAATTTTCTGAATCAGTACCCCAAATAACCAAACCGAATCTAAAGTTGACCAAAAATGGATTCATAACCCTTTTGGTACAAATGTTGGAGAGTGGTCCCTGTTCAAGTAGTCCCTGGTCAAAAAAAAAAAAAAAAAAAAAGGGGGGGGGGTTGGGAACCCCTGCTTTAGATCCATCAAAGAAAATGTACCTATGAAATGATTAATAATTGCTACAAGCAATGTCATTTTATAGCAAAAATCACCATGTATCTTTTTATCTCCCCAGAAAAATTACAAAGAGATGAATCTCATTTTGTAGAGATGAGTCCCTCTTCGGAGGTTGAGAAGACCGGGTTATAAAAGCTCTAAATAAATAAATAAATAAATAAATAAATAAATAAAATTTGGTCCTATTAATAGATGCCTCTGTTATACCCTCGCCTATGGACAAAACAAAATTACTAGGTTCTTCATAGTAGTCGCTGAGCACATTTGCTGCACGCTTTTCCGATTAAGAATGAAATGTTCACAGTGGATGTGGACCTGAATAATAAAATTTGGGAATGCTAAAAATAGACAAGCTCACAAAGTCCTATGGTGATGAAACCCTTGCAATCGCTGTGAAGTACAGCATGTTTTGCTCCCTCCCATAATTATACAGAAGCAGCACAAATTCACAAAGAAATGGCCCAGCAAAAATTATGGGTCTTGAAAATTGAGAGAAGTAAAGGACATCATTAAGAACCTGTGTATAATGAATGCCTGATACAAAGCACAGAGTAAAATGTAAAACCTAAATAAGAAACCATCACTTGCAAACAGTCTACTTTTCTTTGCAATGCACTTTTAAAAACAGTAATGCCACGGTATGTTTTGCCAGTTTATTCCTACCACCTGCCATTTTAGCTCAGCGAAAGTTTGTATTAGCTGCTGGAAAAGAAGTATCCTTAGGTACCTCTCAGGCCAACCGCAGCCAATCTGGCAGGAAGTCACAATTATTAGCTAAGGGAACTGGGCATTGAGGGCTGCAGGAAACCAATACAACCATCTGTAAAACATAGTTTACTCAATCTGTCCGGGCACCTGGGGAGCAGTGAAGCTTTCTCTACCTCAAAGAAAAAACAGCGAGACATCTTCCTTCCTGGCTTGAAAATGAAATGGGTATTTTTGTATCAAGGTCACTTATGTGAGAAGATCGAAGTGCTTTCTATTCCCTTGAACACTACAACAATGTGATGTCTGGAAGCAAAACTTGACCTGGGAATTCTCTCCACTGTCAAAACTAAAGAACAGTAATCTATTTTTCTTCCTTCCTTCCTTTCTTTAAAAAGTAATTAGGATTTTAAGAGACAATTCCAGCAATATGTACTGTAAAAAAACAGGCATTACAATGCAATGATGGATATTCTCAGTGGCCGCTCCATTATAGTCTTTCAGCATCCAAAAGGGACTCTTCCACACTGTGAATGTCAATTATCTCAAACCAGTAGGTAACAATAACGATTGGCAATTTTCTTTTTGTTTTCTATTAATGGATCACCTACATTTAATCTCCAATTTTGCTGATATAAAGACAGCTTTGTTGCTCTGTGTCTTTCCTCTAGGTCACATAAAGAATTAGTGAGCTTTGAAAAAGGCCAGTGAGCAGTTCTCATGGTTGGAGGGGAAAGAAAGATATTATTTACACCACATCCCACCGAGATAAGTGTGGAATGTATCTCACCACGTTAAAACTGTGGATGTAGCTCTTAATGAGACATTATCACAGGATGTCTACACCCTACACCACTGTAGAAATTATACTGTTTACCTGGTATTGCACCAGTTGACATCTGTTGGCAAGTATCAGCCTGTAATGAAAGACCCAAGGCATGGGCAACTCTGGCCCATCCTCTGTTTGTATATCAGACACCAAGCCAACACCTTAAATTAAGAAAAAAGCTTCCTAAGATCTACAGAGATACTTGCAGGAACACCTCAGCAAGTGAGAGTCCAAAAGTGGCAGGATAAAGCCCAGCACCTCAATCAGTGGCTGAGACCAGATGAGAAACTCCTCCCTGGGCACACAGTAGACTCGGCGACTTGGAGTGTACTGAAGAGACTGTGCTCAGGCACCACAAGATGTAGAGCTAACCTTAAGAAATAGGGTTACAAAGTGGAGTCTGTGACATGCAAATGTGGAGAAGAGCTAACCACAGACCACTCACTACAATGCAGTCTGAGCCCTGCCACATGCACAACAGAGAACCTTCTTACAGCGACACCAGAGGCACGTTTCTGGTCACCGGAAATTTAGTACAATGCCAAGTTTTTAACTTTGTTTGTGGTTTTTCTATACATTATAACTGTATTTCCAATTCGCTTCTGACACGATAAATAAATACAGAGATAAGACCCAGTATCTTTAACATATCTTGTATTCACTGAATCTGCAGTATCCATCTTACAACTGCCAAAACACACGGTCCTAGTTTTTCTATCCAGATTTTGTTTCTTCCCTGATTAATATTTGTACCATTATGCCTAATGAAGAATCTGGGGGATTGAAAAGCTTGTGTCATTTATGTCCCACTTTTGGAACACTTTAATGTTTCCTTTAGAAGCCATTGCCCATCTTTTATTTGCTCCTGCTTTTGAAGATAATTTGAAAAACCGGTATCTTTCGGATTTAAACGGATTTTTAAAATAGAGAAATTGCAGTCAATTGCAGCAACTAGTTTATGACCAATTTTAAAAATCTAATTCAAATAATGTTAACTATTCTATTTGTTTCATATCTATGGATTTCTCTTAAGTCCATTCTGCATTGCATTTTTATTTATGTAAGTTAGATTGTAAACATCTATTCATCGGATCAATACATTTCCACTTCATTACAGAAATGGGAGCTGAGCCAGTGCTAAATCCATTGTATCCTAGTCAGCTCCCATTAATTTCAGTGGCACTTGCCTGAGGGTAACTTCTTACCGTGATGTTTGTGTTTTAGTTATTGTGGTTGTTTTGAGGTTTTTTAAAAGAGAATTTTGACAATCCAAGGCCAGGAGGAAATGGAAGGTCTTTTGTTTCATTTTTCAAAATAACAAAACTGCCACAAGATAGCTGCGCGTTCTGCAAACAGATGCACGCAACTACCTGAAAGTCATTATTTGTGGAAACATAAATCACTTCACAGGAAAAGCAGGTACGGAAGAAGCGACGGAGTGACCCATACCTGCTTGACTTCAGCCTGAAGGTGACGCAGCTGCACACATTGTTCCAAGTGCTTCCGATGCTGTTCTGCAGCCAAGTCCAGCTCCTGCTGCTTCTCGTGGAGGAATTCCAGCAAATCCTGAACCCGCGTTGCCATGTCCACATCCCTGTCACAGAGCAGCTCCACACCTGAAACCACCGTCCATGAATTAACATTAATGGGACTGCAGCCCAAGGGTCTTATTCCAAAACCTCAACTGAAGGGTTGTAAAACTGTAGGAGGTCTCCTGGTTTTGCAGCTGCTGCTAAGTCTAAACTCTATTTTCTACTGTGTTTTTCATATCTAAAACCATGTGGATGTTATATGATAGTGTTCTATGATTGCAAATGTTTTGGGTTCAACTAATTGAAAACAACCTCAGTGTGTGTATATTTATTATAAAGACTTCTATTCAGCTATAGTAGTGGCTCTCAACCTGTGGGTAGCCAGGTGTTTTGGCCTAAAACTCCCAGAAATCCCAGCCAGTTTACCAGCTGTTAGGATTTCTGGGAGTTGAAGGCCAAAACATCTGTGGAACCACAGGTTGAGAACCGGAGATGAGACCCAGACGTTTTCAAGGTGCAACTAAACATAACCCTTCCACACACAAAAATTGACAGTGCAAGTTGAGATGGTTGTATCAGACTAACATAACTAGGGTAGGAGCCTATGTGGATTGCATTTTTACTTTCTACATGGACCAAGACTTTTAGTATTTTCCTTTCCCTTTGTGATTGTGGAGGCAAAATAATCTCCACAATAAAACATATCCATGGTCTTGTGTGCCATTATGCTTTCCACACAGTGTGTTAGATCCACAGTAATATATCCAAATTCTGTTCATGATGAAGAAGGTGAACTTCATGGTTTTTCCTTCCCTGACCTGTTAAAACACTGTTCTAGATAGCTCAGGGCTTCTCTGAAATAGAATGAGAGTCATGCAGAAGACAACAAGCATGGTTTCTGATGGTGGAAGGCTTCCTTCACAGCAAGCCTACACTGGATCCTGGTCCATTCCATGAACCTGAAGTGCCCTTCTGATAACAGAGTAGCTGTGCTCCACCCCAATGTCTGCACCAGTCAATAAATAAATACTTGCACATTTCCAGTGATATATTTAGCATGCAAAGAGGTTAAACAAATGAGTAATGGGAAATACCACTTTGCATAAGCCCAAAAATTCAGTGGAAGTATGAAGACACGTATGCAAACTAATACCCCTCTCCATGTAAATTATAGCTAACTAGTTAATATAATGGCATACTAAATAATGCTGGCTGAGATTCAAGTACTAGCTGAAACTTGTTCAGTATATTCAGGAGCACCTTGTCTTTTTCAACTAATAATTCTCAGGATGAAACTCCAAATTTCTTCTGAACTGGGGCAGGAGATGTGTACCAAGAATGTCAAGTGTTATTTGTTATATTTGCAAAAGGGGATACTACTCATGGTAGGTAAACCTAAACAGAATATTCATATGTTAAATTTGCCTGTAGCCTCTGTACCTACAGTTTCAGGATTATAGCATTCAACATTCCTGCTTATTAGGAAAATATAAGAATGCAAACTTGGTAGCTCTAAATGCCCAATTAAAAATAACACCTTTCTATGTCTACTATAAAAGCTACAACATCCACTAATTTCTGGGAAACTATATTGTATTATAGAGGAAAACAAAAGTTTGTATTCTATGTATTTGAAATAAAAATATATTTTCTCCTTCAAGCAGGAAGCACCAAGTATGTTCCAATTCTTTTTAGAAAAATAAAATATTTAAGAAGCACAATGCTGTGACACCTTGTAACCCCAGCTTCAATAATCCCTACAAATCCATTAACCTGGTTACATTGAGAGCAATCGATCTTACCAGAGGCCTGCACTTCATTGACATACTGCAAGAGATCTTGCCCTTGGTGGATGACATCAAAAGTCAGGTTATTCATGGTCAGGGCTTTGTCCGCATGATGCTGAAGCCTTTGCTCTGCTATCGTAAGATCTTCAGTATCAAAATCATTCATCTGCTGAGAGAGCTCATCATTCCAGGATTCAAGATCTGAAATTATCTAAAGTTAAAGAAATTAAAAAATAAGAGAAGGCCTTTCAGTATACTTTCAGTATTTGGACATTTCATTTTTGCAAATTTCATTATTAAAATGTTCTCCAGGTTCTCCAGTGCAACTCAATATTCAACTTCCACTGGTAAATGGCCACAGAGTTGTATTGGTGGACCTTGAAATTCTTAGAGAGGTGTTCTCTCAGACTATATATATGTATTTGTTGTTATTGTTCATTCGTTCAGTCGTTTCCGACTCTTTGTGACTTCATGGACCAGCCCACGCCAGAGCTCCCTGTCAGTCGTCACCACCCCCAGCTCCTTCAAGGTCAATCCAGTCACTTATATATATGAGAGAGCCCCCAGTGGTGCAGCGGATTAAACCACTGAGCTGCTGAACTTGTTGATCAAAAGATTAGCAGTTCAAATCTGGGAAGTGAGGTGAGCTCCCACTGTTAGCCCCCGCTTCTGCCAACCTAGCAGTTTGAAAACATGCAAATGTGAGTAGATCAATAGGTACTGCTTTGGCAGGACGGTAACGGCACTCCATGCCATCATGCTGGCCACATAATCTTGGAGGTATCTACGGACAACATCAGCTCTTTGGCTTAGAGATGGAGATGAGATCCCCACCCCCAGAGTTGGATACGACTAGACTTAATGTCAAGTGGAAACCTTAACCATATATATATTCATTTTATCCAGGATGCTGTGTCTCTGACCACAGCAAATGGGCTGGCCATATATGACGAAATACAACACAGGCTGGTATATCAAAAAGAATTCAAATGCCTTTTAAAGGACTGTTCAGTAAAAAGAGCTCACAGACTCTATAAGGGCCAAGTCAAACCTACCAGGGAACCATCATGAGATTTCTAGACTCATGGAAAGAAGGTAGCATGTTCACATTGATCGTTTCTATGGAGGTGCAGTAAATGCATATATGAGGACAGGAGATAATCAACTTGAGAAATGGAAGATGGCATAGAAATTTATAAACACTAGTTTACATCCCATGGGTAGTCTCAGCTACAGTAGACCCACTGAATCAACTAAGCATGAAAATGTTGGCTTTGCCAAGTTCTTATTGATTCAATGTATCATGGAATCAGAGTTGGAAGAGACCCCGTGGGCCATCCAGTCCAACCCTCTGCCAAGAAGCAGGAAAACCACATTCAAAGCTATCTCAAAGCTATCTGTGTCAATTCTATTTGGAAATAATAACTAGATTTAGTCCACTACCTGTGTACATGCGAAGGGCCATCTAACTAGACAGAATAGGCAGTCTGAATGAGAAGTGGAAAGTCAAATATGAATAGCTTAGATTTGTTAGGCCCTGCTGAATATGTTGGACCAATGCCTCATCACTAAAAAGGCAAAGGAGAAACTTTTAAACTGACCAGAGAGAATATCAACAACATTTTAAGGAGATTGGCAGGATACTCAGGGATGATGGTTTAACCAGTGGTTCCCGACCTGTTGGTCCCCAGGTGTTTTAGCCTACAACTCCCAGAACTCCCAGCCAGTTTACCAGCTGTTGGGATTTCTGGGAGTTGAAGGCCAAAACATCTGGAGACCCACAGGTCGAGAACCACTGATTTAACCACATGGTAACCCCAGAAGGAAATGGGACAGCAAGCAGTCAAATGAAAACCTAGAATAATCTGTCATAAGGGATACAAATTCACTCTTGCTTATTCATTCCCTCATTGAATTTGTTCACAAGCTCAAACTGTAAAGACTCCAGTGTGCGTCACCACTGGAGGAGGCTAACACAGGGATTTATTTTATGTCTAACAGATAGGACCCTTGCCTCTCTCACTGCTAACTTGGCAAATATTCATGCATTCATATAGCATCTTTGTGAAACAGGGAGCACACGGCTGTAAATTCTGCCTATGTGACAGCAAAATAGATTGATATTTCCTAAGGCCATAAATGTCTGCATTAACACTAAGATTACCACCCATGTATCCAATTTCATCTCACCTGGTGGAGGATTAAGAGAAACCCAATCAATCAAAGAAAAAGGTACTAACAGCTTCATTACAGTTTCACTCTTGAAGGGAAACATCCATTTCTACCCAATCCACTCTTCTAGTGGGAAAAGAAAGGTGTAATAAAACCATTAGTATATGAATTGTAGGCTTACATCAATGGCATCTCTCTCAAATATTCTCAACTGTAAGAAAAGTTCCAGCTTTATTTTGCGCTCCTGGAAAAGCTCCTCCATCTGTGACTGGGCCTCATCCAGCTGCTGAAGAACTGTCTCAATATGATTGATGGAGCTGTTGTGGGGGGTCTTGTTACTCGAGATGGCAGAATCCCTACAGGAAAACAGAGAGGGAATCTTGAATAAGAACATGTGGTGTGAATGGGAGAATAGTCAAGATAGAAGAGACTGCAATGTTTTGATCTCATCAGTCTGTACCCTCACATATCCCCATCCACGGGCCTTCATTTTCTACACAGCTTGAATCAGATAGAGCCAACTCAAAACAATATGTTGACTAATGCAAGGGAAAAGATCCACCAACACTACAATCCTATATATGGAAGTCAACTGATGTTGCTTCAGTAGTAGCATGGTGTCCTCTACCACATTTAGAGCAGGAGATTGGTTTAGGGAATGAAATACAAGCTGACAGACATAGAAAGCTCTTTCCTCCAACATAGGAGAATGGGATCCTTTCACTGATGCGCCTAAAAAAATGTTACCTAAGATGGTTGTCTCAGAGCCCATCCATAAGGACCACAAAATCTGGTGCTGGTCCAGAGTGGAAATTCTCCAGATCTGCCATGGTGGGCTATACTGTCCAACTGTATCCCACTGTTAGGTAGGACGGAGTCCTCATCTGCCCAACTGGGTCAAAGCTTGTTCAGCCCCACTGAATAATCACCCTTACTTTTTATGTTATTCATCATTGTGGCAATGGTCACAGAGCTCAGGAGAGTTCATGGTTGTTGCTAGGACACTTTCTGACATCATAAAAGTACATGGCAACAGCCAGAAGCTCTCTGGAGCTTTGTGGCCACTGTTGCAGCAACAAACAACAATAAAGCTAAGAGTCGATCCCTTTTCCCCATGCTGTGGAGCACAGGGAAAATGGGATGACAGCCACGACCCATTTAGATTCAGAGTCAGCTCAGATATTTGTACCAATCCAAAAGTGCAAGTCTACTCCAGAATTCTAGAGATATTCATGAGTTTTCCCAAACTTCTACCAATACGAAGTAAAACCAAGTTAACGTGGGGTAAAAGCTGGGGTCTGGATATCTCTGGAAGTCGCCTGGCTGCCCAGAAGTGACTTCCCCAGCTCAGTCTGTGAAATGCAAAGTCTTAGGGCAACTGTATTTGGTCAACAACTTTCAGAATCTCCCAGATTTGCATCTCCCAAAAGATAATATTTCTAAGTTCTGCCTAATGGAAGCTTTGATCCGCATATTGATGATAATGTTGGTTCTAGATTATAGGCGATGTGGATCAGTGCTATTGAGTGCCTCACCATGGACTCGGAACATAACTACGGACCTTATCACATTAATCCCATTTTTAAAGGATTGGATGCATACTGTATTGAGACAGGATGCATACTCTCCTCATCATATCTGATTATTATGATTCTTATGTTTTGAAAATACTGCACTTTGACTCATTACACCACAGAAGACTGGCTCCTCCCAAACCATTCAAAACACCCCCTACATCACTCTATGACCTTTAAAAAAAAGTATCGTTGCTGATGGGATGCATTCAGGTTTTCCTATCACACACGAAAACAGTGCTTCAGCAATGGAAGGGTCTGTAGTTTTTAAAAAAGCAAGATCAGAATTCCATCTGCAAATAATCCATTTCTGCGATGCTTTGCAGACAGATTCTGACGGATAACTGATGGGATGGGGATAACTGATGGGATGAGACAAACGCCATGTGACGGGACCTGTTCAAAATCATCCTGAAAGTCTCAGAAATTGCGTATTTTCTAATGTGATAAGGTCTTCAGAAAAAATCTAAACATTTCCTGCAAAGAACGTTTTAGAGTTGGCATGGAGGGCTGGGTAAAACATATTTGAAGACAATCTGGATCTCCAATGCTCATCTTGTCAGAGACTCTTAATAACCTTTCAGGGAACCCCCAGGGCTCTGAACAAAACAGGTTTCTGATCTTGTAAGCCATCTGTTAGTGACGTGCTGTTACTGATGTGCTGTCTTTCAACAGGAGTGACATATTTCTCAAGGTTATGACTACTGGGCACAGAAAAACATCATCATCATCTCCTCCACCATCACCACCTATACTCTTTCCCCAAAAACGTCAGGACTCAAGGGGACTTACAAAATGAATAAATACAATATAGCGCACTCTAAAATATAATGTAACTGTTAAGCACATTCAAAACAATTTAAAATATACAATTTAACAAAGGTTAAAAAGCAATTTTATATGACTTGTTCTCCTAATTCATATTAACCGATGCCTTAAAGTTGTGGTTGCATGGCACTGTAGCAAGCATCAGGTCAGAATTACAGGCTGAAAGACATATCAGCCAATGAGCGGAAGAGAAGAATGAATTATCGGTTTGCTCTCTCTATAGCATGCAATAAATGGGCCATGTTTATTTCTGCACCTTTGATCATAGCAGTCAGTAACGTGGAGGAGGGGAGACAGAAAAAAAAAAGCTTAAAAGCAACAGGACATGTTTATATCTGTGCATGAACTACACACTATGGCAGAAAAAGGAGAGACATTTGCATGGAGCAGTTCTCTTAAATCAAAGTCTTACCTCAGCTGCTGTATCAGATCTTCGCCTTCTTTGATGACATTCACTGTCACTTGCAGAGTGGTTTGCTGCTGTTGGCCAAATCTTTTGATCAGCTCTTGCACTGCCTCCACAGACTCTGCATAAACATCATCCAAAAGTTCCTTTTGGAGCTCTTCCAGCCATGTCCAGAGCTGTGGATGTTTTAAAAAACAAAACAAGCAAAGAACTATTGTTAAGGCTAAAGTGGAGATTGCTGAAGAACGTTGCTTTGACAAGCTAAAGGTTTCTTCCCTCCTTTCATAGTATTTTGTATAGCCATCCTGAGTGCCTGCAAAGAATGATGGGGTATATATTGAACTAGCTATCCCCTGCCACACATTGCTGCGGCCCAGTCTGGTGATCTGGAAAATAAAGTAATGAGAAAATGTTGGTTTCTAATATATGTAATTTCTTTATGATTTGGGTAAATAGTATTTCTCGCTTTTTTTGTCAGTGTGGATGTGGAGAGTGTCTGGTTTGCCCACCCTGGAACATGCAAGATATTATTGTCCTTCTTTAGGGGTCCTTTTCAAATCTATGATACTATATCTCTCTGTGGGTGAATCATATCTATCTATCCATCCATCCATCCATCTCTCCTTCTCTCTCTCTCTCTATCTATGGCTGGATGGCTCTTTATCAGGAGGACTTTGATTACGTTTTCTTGCTCTGATGAAGGGAGTTGGATTGGATGGCCTTAAGTATTTTCTGTTGGTCATGGGGGTTCTGTGTGGGAAGTTTGCCCCAATTCTGTCATTCGTGCGGTTCAGAATGCTCTTTGATTGTAGGTGAACTATTAATCCCAGTGACTACAACTCCCAAATGTCGAGTTCTATTTCCCCCAAACTCCACCTGTGTTCATATTTGGATGTATTGAGTGCTTGTGCCAAGTTTGGTTCAGATGCACTATTGTTTGAGTCCACAGTGCTCTCTGGATGAAGGTGAACTACAACTCCAAAACTCAAGGTCAATGCCCACCAAACCCAGTATTTTCTGCTGGTCATGGGAGTTCTGTGTGCCAAGTTTGGTTCAATTCCATCGTTGATGGAGTTCAAAATGCTCTTTGATTGTAGGTGAACTACAAATCCTAGAAACTACAACTCCCAAATGACAAAAGCATAATTTTTTGAGTGATGGTCACTCCTTGTGTTGTGAGATGTTTTGTTGCCAAATTTGGTGTGATTTTGTTCATTGGTTCTTTTGTTTTTAAGGTACTCATTATGCACAGAGCATTTATATATAGATAGATAGATGAATGAATGCGTTTAAGGAGAAATGATGATGTGCAAATAAATACCATATATTCAGTAATCATATACACTTCAAAACTATCACTGAGGTTTCCTAAGAAACTCAGGCGTTTGATATGTGTGTAGTAGTAGTAGTAGTAGTAGTAGCAGTACATTTTACTATTTCATCCTGTCTACCTAGAAGCTTTTTAGCAGCATCAGCATTGGGAGGAGGTAAAGGAGGACTAGAGGAACACAGACTTTCACTGTCGGGTTGTAGCAGTATGCAGCAAACAGTGCAACTAAGAGTGGGATTCTTCACTGATGGATCCTACCGTAGACATGTATGCCTGCCTATAACAGGCAAGGTAAACAGCAGCTGCCTCCCGAATCACTTCCTGAGCATGCATGAACAGCAAAACAGAGAGAAAAGGGGACAACACGTAAGTCTGCCTTACCATTTCCCCCAACATGTCACAGAAGAATAGAACTATAAGTTTGCCCATCAAAATCATAAAAATGTGGAGAATGGTCACTTACTAAGTTTACAGTGGACCTAATACTTGAACTGCAGACCTCCTGCTCATGGTTGATTTAAACACACTGTCTCAAGTGTGTCACTTGGAAAGTCCCTGTACACTTCTCATGTCAATCGCGAATTCATTAGGCAGCTTTAGACTAATCTTTGTTTTCTAGAATTCATTCCTTCTACATATAATGTGCCAACCCTAAGCCAGACCTACCTTACAGTGCTATTTGAGGATTCACAACTGTAAGACAATATGGCTCAATTGAGCATTCATGTTTTAAGGCAATACACAACTGAACACAAGGAAGTGAAGGATGATTTCGCCTTATTATGAACTTTCCAGAAGCATTCAGGTTGCTGGATTAAAAAGGTCTTCCTGACTTATTACTAAAGGATTGGGTGGAAGAAGCTTGGAATTCTCTCAACAGTATATTTGCGTTTATTATAAACTGCTGGAACTGCATTTACATGTCATGAATAGGATAACAGTACAGAAGAAATGTCAAGTCATCACATCAACTATTTGTACCTAGCCTCCCACTACTATCAACCCTGGTTTACTCTTATTCTTTGTACATCTCTTTCCCGGAATCTAGATGAAATGGGGGAAAAGAGTTCCAAGACTGATGACGTTGTGCACTGGTTTTCCAAAATTTTGTCTTGTAACTTTGCCCGTTCTCTATCTTTAAGGAAAGTAATGGGTCTTAAAATGGGAACTAAGAAAGTACTGTTTCATATCTGGAGTACAGTTTGTTCCTCAATGCTGAAAGCCTTTTAGGTACAATTCCTTCCAATCTTGCAATGTTCCTTGTCAGTACTGAGTCTTGAGAAAGCAAGGCTACATACAGTGCGACAAAGTTATTTTGCCTGGGGTCAAGAAAGGTAATTACAACTGAATCACAGTTTCTGTTGGGGACTTTGGGCTCACATATTTAACTAGTACTTTGGTGTATTTAGATCCAAAAGCTTAGTAGCATAGTTAGGAAACTTGTATGATTGATAAATCTGCCCAACTCCAGATGTTATTGACTACAACAACTATAATCCCTATCCAGTACAGGGATCATAGGTGTTGTCATATCAATCATTTTGAAGGTGACAAGTTGCTCCATTGCCAAGATAGAATATTACTCCTGAGTGTGCACACAAATTTTTTTTTTTGCTGCTTTCTGTTTGGCATTGTATAGAGAAAAGGCAGTTTAAATATAACTTCTAGAGAGCAAATGTGTTGTTTATGCTGAAATATTAAACATGCATTTAGAAGATCTTTTGGGTTGTAAACCCATTCCTTTGGGTGGCATTTAGTTCATTCTGTTCTCTTTAGTATCAGCAATGCATTAAGAAATGAGATACATATACGTTCATGGGTGGCATAATTCTAGCACTTGTCATAATGGGTCTTTGCCAGTCATCTCAAACCAAACATAGAGTTCGAATCCTCTTCTGCCTGTTGCTAGCCAGTGAGTAGCACACAAACATGAGCGAACCTCCAACTGTCACCAGCATTTTGTAGTCCCATGTAAAGGCTCATCACTTCTACGAGTCTTTACTAGTACTGGCAGAAACTGAAACGCTATACATAATCTCAGCACTCTCCAAGGAATCTCAGCTCTCCAAGGAAGTTCCCTGCACAAGGCCCAAACAGCAATGTGGGAAACTGCCGGAGCCTAAACAAATTCCATATGGCTTGCTAAATCGGAGCAAACTGTTGAACCAGATGGGGTCCCTTCCAATATTTTGAATCAAAGCTCCCTTCAACATCCACAACAGCCAAAGGTCACAAATAATAAGGGATACAGTTCAAAATATCTAGAGGATGGTAAGCAAAAACAAGATAGATGGAGGGCCATTTTGGGATCCTCCCAATTCCCTATGCGTTACATGCTGGGCATTATTCGAAATTGGATATGACATTCTAATCCCATCCCATTGTTTTCTGGATAGTTTTTCAGCTGCATAGGGTTGGGGTCCATAAAAGCAATTTACCACAAAAACTCAGAAGTGTTTTTTGAGACCTACATTTTTCTTTTCAGCCTATTTTTTAAAAAAACTTCAGAATTTTAGGATATTGAGAAGGGCCAGCTGCAAGAATCCTGTCCCTAATATAATGGCAGAAAGTTGGGGAAAGGGTGATCAATACTAACTTCCAAGCAATACTTTGCCAGATGCCTCTGCAGGGAGAAGGAGGAGGAAATCTTTATTGATATCCCACTTTTCTCCCTGAATGGGGCTCAAAAGCGGCTCACAACATTTTCAAAACAGTGCAAACAACATAAACATATAATATACAACCATATATAAGAATGGAAGGAAGAATGGAAGGTTTCCACCTGGAAACCAATGCCCTCACTGCGGGAGACGATGCAGATCAAGAATAGGGCTCCATAGTCACCTACGGACCCACCCTGGAGGATTATCCTACTCGGACAACGAGGGATCACCTAAGTAAGTAAGTAATATAAGAATGACATAAATAAACATTCTAAGCATATATGGGAAGCATATAACTAATGGATTTCTCCAGTTCTTAATACCATCAGGTATTTAGAAATTCACTACACTGAAACACTGAAGCTTCATTTAATTTTAGGGCTAATTGACACCAATAGGTTTTATCTTTATGAATGTGTCTCAGACTTCTTAGAAAGATCCAGGAAGTCGGCATGTTGTATCTACATCAATGAATTCTGTATTATATTTACATTGGGTGTGAAATATGACTCTTTTGCCTATTCTGAACAATGGACTCTCTCGCACACACTCCCCCCAACATACACACAACAATCCTAAGTCACACATAGTGAGACATGCAATTTACATTCAGAAGATAATGAGACATACATGCAAATAACATTCAGAAGACCTAAAAGCCACTGTTGAAAATTTCTGCTATCTTGGCAGCCACCTCTCCACAAAAGTTAACGTCGACACTGAAATAAAACACCATCTGAGCTCTGCAAGCGCAGCATTTTTCTGAACGAAGCAGTGAGTGTTTGAGAATTGGGACATTCGTAGGGATATCAAGATACTTGTTAATAAAGCAATTGTTCTTCCAACTCTATTATACACCTGTGAAACATGGACCATCTACAAATGTCACACTCAACTTCTGGAACAATTCCATCAGCATTGCCTCTGAAAACTCCTGCAAATCTCTTGGGAATACAGATGGACAAATGTCAGCATGCTGGAAGAAGCAAACACTATCATCACTGAAGCAATTATCCCCCGCCATCAACTCTCCTGGACTGGCCACATTGTCTGAATGCCTAATCACCGTCTCCCAAAGAAGCATTATACTCCCAACTCAAGAATGGAAAACGGAATGTTGGTGGACAGCAAAAGAGATTTAAAGATGGGGTTAAAGCTAACCTTAAAAACTGTGGCATAGACACTGAGAACTAGGAAGCTCTGGTTCTTGAGCAGTGTAACTGGAGGTCAGCTGAAACCAACAGTGCTGTGGGGCATGAATGGGAGGGCAAAAGGGAGAAATGTGTCAAGAGGAAAGTGCATCAAACCAACCCAGGACCGCCTTCCATCTGGAAATCAATGTCCTCACTGCGGAATAACATGCAGATCAAGAATAGGTCTCTACATTGAGACCCTACACTTGGAAGGTAATCATATTCGGCCCACGTGAGATCGGTTAAGTAAGAGACATGCAAATGATAAATTTCCATAGATTTCTGCTTTAATACCCCTTTCTAAGACTACAAAACTGAAATCTCTTGAAAAATGCCTGTCAGTCTTCCTCTAACACCTAGTTAGAACTCAATTCTTCCAATTTTTGCAATAAAATGGAAGAAGGGATTTATCCTCAAGCCCAAGGAAGTAACTGGCCTTACACTCTCTAAAATAAAATAGTTTTGAAACAACTACTTAGACATTAGTTTCAAAAGCAACCAAGGGCCGTGATGTGCTAAGCACCATGGAAACGTGTTCAGACATGATCTCTTTTGAATCCATACTTGAGATACATATTCCCTAACATCCGAAGAGGGATTGACTGCTTCCCTGTATCTGGCCCTGCTTTGCAAACATCTGGCCCTGCTCTCCTTCCAATTTCATTTCATCCAAAGAAAGGGAGTCATTTCCATGCACACATGTATGGCCGACAGTCAGAAAGTTATGAATACAGACATATACACAGACATTACTCAAAGCACCTTTTGAAGACCAGCAAAGAGAAGCACTAAATTTGCATGACTCAGCGGCTGGTGACAAGTCATACTTTGGAACTAGCCTAGCGCTTAGGCCATTAATTTTTGTACTGAGATTTCTATCTAAGCAACTGTTGCTGTAAACACACGCACACTTCCTTTTTTTTCAGCTGTGAAAATGACTCTCTCGCCCATCGCTGGCACAAGGGAGAGCCAAAGGCCTTGCAGAATGCTCAGTTCATGATCAATTTGAGCACCACAGTGAATTTCCATCTCCCACTGTTAAGGATGGGAGGACCTGATTACCATTAACACTCAAAGAAACATATGTTTGTCACAATCCAAGAGCACTGGAAGGTAATGCCCTCTCTGAATTTGACTGTGGCCAATGTGGCTAAACCCATGTAACACTCCATACCAGACTATGACGAACATGCCATGTCACTACAAATAATTCAACACAAATATATCCGTTAAACGATGAGAAAGATGCCAAGTGCTATTTTCTCCAAGTTCCAATCTCCTTTATGCCAGTACCATTGGAAGCAAAAAGCCAAATCTAGTGGTGAAAATACAACTATTCCATTTTTATATAGTGCTTTTAACAAGCATACAAAACAGATCATATACACTAGCTCCAATATACGCAGAGCCAGTATGGATGATGACAGGCTGCTTTCCAATGTACCACATGCAGGACTGGCCCAAG